CTTTCCCTTTCCCCTTTCTTTTTTCCCCTTTCCTCTCTCTCTTTCCCCTTTCCCTCTCTCCCTCCCTTTTCTTTCTTTCCCCCTTTCCTTCCTCTCCTCCCTCTCACTCCCTCTTTCCCTCCCCTTCTCCCTCTCCCCCTTGCACTCTCTCTCCCCCCCTTCCCTCCCCTTTCTCTCTCATTCCCCCTCTCCCTCCCTTTTCTTTCTTTCCCCCTTTCCTTCCTCTCCTCCCTTCTCACTCCCTCTTTCCCTCCCCCTCTCCCCCTTGCACTCTCTCTCTCCCCTTCCCTCCCTTTTCTCTCTCATACCCCCTCTCTCCCCACTCACTCCCTCTTCCCCCCTCCCCTCCCTTTTCCCTCTCATTCCAACAGCTTGTATGACCTGCCCCACGAACCGACCGCCGCGACGAGGAACGGCCCGTAAATAGACCTCCTTTATCCCCAAAACGTCTTATCTCCTTAAGCCCTCCGCCTTGGCCAGCCCCGCCAGCAACCCGCCCGGCAACGATAGGCCTACCCCCTGATCGCAACGAAGACCCAACAACATGCGGTTCTTTCGCACCTTTCCCTCTCCCTCCCCCTTCCCCCCTCCTCACTCAACCACCACCACCACCACGCCCATACCCACGAAGCTACCCCGGCATCCACGCCCACACACCTGCTGCACGCCACAATACCCTGTCCTGCACCCCCCCCCCATTTCGCCCCTGTTTACAAACACTAACTCAGGACACAACAACGCTCAAAATACTCGGCCACGTTCGCCCGCCAGCACTTGCATAAAGAAGAAAGACCACAAGACGCAAGAATTACTGGCTTCGTCTGCGGCAGTGATGGAGTGGGTGAGAGGGAGGGAGGGAGGGAGGGATTGGGGGGACGGAGGGAGGAAGAGAGGATGGGGGAGGTGGACGGAGGGAGGGAGGGAGGGTTAGTGAGCTGCTGCTGCTATGATAATGATAATGATAATGCCAATAACAACAATATTAATAACTTACAATAACAGCAGCAATAACTACAAAAATAATAACAATATCAATAATAATAATAAGGATGACAATGATAATAGCAATAATAAAATTCATAAGGGAACATCACAGAAGAAAAATAAGAAAAAAGAAAGAAAAGAAAACGAAAAACGGGCGACGAATCTTTTTCACTAACTAATCCAAACCCATTTCCCCCCAAACACATACATATATATAAATACACATACGCACGCACACACGCACACACGCACGCACACACACACACACACACACACACACACACACACACACACACACACACACACACACACACAAACACACACACACACACAAAATAGGACAAGCCACGCACGCTCAGGCAACGACGAGGAGGAAGAGAAGAAAAGACATGTGGAAGGCAGGTCGACGGTGGACGACGTATACGGCAGCGACCTATCCGCAGATGGCATCAGCCGCGTCCACCTTTGTCAACCTCTTCGCCCCTCCCCCCTTCACCCCCTTCTATCCCCACCCACCACCCCCTGGCACCCTCCTACCCCCCTGGCACCCCTCATCCCCTGGCACCCCTCATCCCCCCCCACCCCCCAACATTCCCCTCACCCCAAAGCCCTGAACAATCGGCATACGCGACCACCACCTGCAGCTGCAGCTTTGGTTCCCGGCTCTTGGTCCTGCGTTCGATGCGCCCCAGATATACTTTGGTCACCCTGACAAATTGGTTGGGAGTGCCGGAAGGGGGGGAAGGGGGAGAGGGAGGGAGGGAGATTAGGGTGGAGGGAGGATCAGTGGGGTAGAGGGAGGAAGAATGGGGTGGAGGGAGGGAGGGAGGGAGGGAGGGAGGGAGGGACGGGGTGACAGTGGAAGGGTTTCAGAAGAGACGAAGGTAGGGAGGGAGGGAGAATGGGATGGGGAGAGGGAGGAAGGGAGGGAGGGAGGGACGGAGAGAGGGAAAGGGGGAGGGAGAGAGACACAAACGAACACACACGCACGAACTTACGCACCCAAATAGACTCGCGATGAGACCGATATGCACGCAGATAAACAGACGAAGACGCTGCCAAACGAAGTGGTCTACTTAAGGGAAAAGGAATCTATCGAAGCATGCACCTCTTATGAGCTCGATGAGACACGTTGAGTAAGGCTTGAGTAAGTGAGTAATTGCCAGACTAATTTGCGGCATGAATCAGGGAGAGAGGAGAGGGAATAAGTAGAGATGTGGAAAATAAAAGACAGGATAGCGAGAAACATAAGGGAGGAGGGGGATGGGGCGAAACAAAAACAAGGCAGAGGAAGGTGAGAGACGGAGGGGAGATAAGGGAAAGGAAATGAATATAAAAGATAGGGTATGGGACGGGACGAGACCTATGGGCCACCTTCCCCCTTCCCCCCTACCCCACAAACACCTCGCCAATGACACACTTGACTCACACGCGCTTCGGGGAGCCCCGCCATGGTGAGTCACGACTCGGTGATTCACTCTGCCGTTTATACTCACGATTTCAATGATCCCAAACCGTCTCGGCCCTGATGAGAATGCTCGAGAAAACGAAGGCTTTGCCAAATATATACCTCTCTCCCTCCAAATATATTCGTCTCTCTCTCTCTCTCTCTCTCTCTCTCTCTCTCTCTAACTCTCTCTCTCTCTCTAACTCTCTCTCTCTCTCTAACTCACTCTATCTCTATCTCACTCTATCTCTAACTCACTCTCTCTCCATCTCACTCTCTCTCCATCCCACTCTCTCTCTATCTCACTCTCTCTCTATCTCACTCTATCTTTATCTCACTCTATCTCTATCTCACTCTATCTCTAACTCTCACTCTATCTCTGACTCTCTTTCTAACTCACTCTCTCTCTATCTCACTCTATCTATAACTCACTTTCTAACTCACTCTCTCTAACTTATTCTCTCTCTCTCTGCCTCTCCTCCTCCTCTCTTTCTATCTCATTTCTCTGCTCCTTCCATAAACCCGTAAACTCGTCCCATATTTCCTCCCCAACAGACGAAAAAAAAATACTACCCATGTCTCCAACAACGCTTGCTTAGAGCGCACAACCTCGACCTGGACTAAAAAGGACTAATCTTCATATCGTGCATAGAACTTCTAAGGTGCCCAGGATGTATTTGTAGGGAACGACGCAAACCGCAGACACGAAAATTGACTGAATCTGACCGCAGATTGCATCGAACGCGGGTCATTTATTTATATTTGGACATTTTTTTTTTTTATATAATTCCCTCTCCCCACCCTCCCACTTTCACTCTCTCTCCCTACCTAACACTTTCACTCTCTCCCTCTCCCTCTCTCCCTCCTTCCTACTTCCCCTCTCCCTCTCTTCTTCACTCTCTCCCTCTCCCTCTCCCCCCCCACCTGCCTGCCTCTCACTCTCTCACTCACTCACTCACTCACTCACTCTCTCTCTCACTCTCTCTCCCTCCCTGACACACATGTCGGATCAAGGATCACATCTGCGCTGACCACAAAAGGGGAAGGGGGAGACAAACAGGTGCGCCCCTCAAGGTGAGCTTAAAACAGGACGAGGTTAAGAGCATGGGTTACGAGAGAGGGAGGGTGAGGGGTGAGTGAGAGGGGAGAGGGGAGGGGGGAGAGGGAGAGGGAGAGGGAGAGGGGGGAGAGGGGGGAGAGGGGGGAGAGGGGAGAGAGAGAGAGAGAGAGAGAGAGAGAGAGAGAGAGAGAGAGGAGAGAGAGAGAGAGAGAGAGAGAGAGAGAGAGAGAGAGAGAGAGAGAAGAGAGAGAGAGAGAGAGAGAAGAGAGAGAGAGAGAGAGAGAGAGAGAGAGAGAGAGAGAGAGAGAGAGAGAGAGAGAGAGAGAGAGAGAGAGAGAGAAGAAAATAGATGTAAAAAATCCGAATGCGAAGGAGAGAATGCCAAGACGGAGAAACACAAAAGACGCACGGGGGGATGAACAGGGTTATCACGATAAGGCACCCCCCCCCCCATTTCCCCCCTCAACCCTCTGAACCTCCCCGTCCAGCAGATCCTCCCCCCTCCCCTTCCCATACTCCCACCCCACCCTGCCCAAAAAAGCCTCCCTCAAGATCTATCCCCTCCCCACCTACCCCCTCCATTCGAAACCCCACCCCCCACCCCCCATCATTACCTTCTCTCTGTATGCCAAACGCACCTTCCCGTTCCGCTCTCTGGAAACGTATGGAAGTCCCCCTGTTTGTTTACTTCGTGAAAGGGGCCAGGCCGGCTAAGTCCTTGCAGATGAAGACGTTGTTTATATCCTTATGGTGTGGTATAAACATTATGGAAATGAAAAACAGGGAAGGCAGTGAATAAAATTAAGTCATTAATAGATACCAATCCGTTTCCAGAAATAACCAATGGGCAAATATTAATTTTCATGTGAATCACAGCGTAGAACAAATAATGACAAACACACAAAACAAACAAACAAACAAACCCACAAAATAAACAGACACAGGCATGAGAAAAGCAGGCAAGCGATGGGCATAGCGGAGGGCATACACCAAAAATGCGTCATAATCACCAGGTATTAATTAATCCCCCCCCCCCTCTCCTCAGGTGTGTCGATGATAATTATCGGAGCCGAGTATTTAACGCCACTAAGTCATCTCCAGACCTGTCATTAGCTCGCAAACGCATGGGCTAAGTGGCCACAATCCGACACTATCGACTCCTAAACTCATTCTCCCCCCCCTCCTTCCCTCCCTTACCTCCTCCCTCCCCTCTTCCTCTCAGTTCCCTTCTGCCCCTCCCCTCCCCTCCAACCGACCCCTCACTATCCTCTCTCCATATCTCGCGTTAATTCTTCTTTCCTCTCCATTTCTTCTTTTTCCTCCCCCACGTTCCCCAACTCCTCTTCTCCCTTTTACCTCCTTCTCTCCTAACCTTTATCTTCTCTCGACACTCTTCCTTATCTACGATCCCTGTCTCCCTTTTCTCTTTTCTATCTTCTTCTCCCCCCTTTTCCTCTTAATCTTCCCCTATCCCTTCCCTCCTTATTCTCCTCTTTCCCCTCACCTTCCCCTTCTTCCCTTCCCCCCCCCCTTCCCTACCTTCCCTAACATTCTCCTCCTCCCCCTCTCCTTCCCCTCTCTACCCATACCCCTTCACCCCTCCCTTCCTCCTTCCTCCAACATCCTCCTTCCTTCCTCCTTCTTCTTCCTAATCCATCGCCTCTTCCTCCCCTCACACCCTTACGCCTCCTCACCCTCCCCAACCCCTAATCCCCATTCCCTTTCCCTTAATCCTTAAATCACCCTAACCACCCTTTTCCCCTAGCCCGTGCCCCTCTCTTGAAATGCCCTTAAAACCAAGAGTAACCGTTACCTTACGTCCCTACCCTAAACAAAAATAAATAAAATAGATAAAAATAAATAAACAAATCAATAAGTAGATCGATAAATAAAAAAATAAATACACGAAGAAACACGAGAATCATAAAGAAAAAGAAAACTAATACACACACAAAAAAATAATAATAAATACACGAATAAACACGAGAATCAAAAAGAAAAAGTAAACCTAATACACAAACAAATCAATAAGTGTAAAAATAACATTAATAATAAAAAAAGAGAACAAAAACTCACGAGAACACCAATCAATCCGCAAAAGGAACGCCCGAACATAAACCTAATAAATCCACGCCGAGAGAATGAGAGCAACCTCAAATCACGCCCATCAACACTCATCCCTTCCCTCCCTCACCCCCCGCCGGACCATTACGTCGCCAACACAGACCTTCACCCTACGCCCCATACCCCATCCCCTACCCCTACCCCCGCACCACAAGAAACCACCTGCCCACCCAACCCAGCAATTAACACAGGTAAATCACCCAACGCAGTGCGCCCCCGCCCACCGCCACCCACGCTCACGCCCTTCCACCCACCCACTAGGCCCCGAGGCCACCCACGCACCTGTGGGTGAGAGGCAAGGCGTTCTTTTGAGAATTCTTAAGGTGAGTCACACGTACTTGCACATAAACATGCACAAGCACACACTCACACGCTCACGCACGCAAGCACGCACACACACACATACACGCACCCGCACTCGCGCGCGTACACTCACACACTCACACACTCACACACACACACACACACACACACACACACACACACACACACACACACACACACACACGCACACACACACACACACACACACACACACACACACACACACACACACACACACACACACACACACCACTTCATCATTCTGTTTACCTTACAGTTCTGCATGCCACTACAAAATCAATAAACAAACAAACAAGTTATATAAAAAACAAGAAAGGTGAGGTTCGTAAACAACTCAAAGACCATATTCATTAAACTTCAAAAACCCAATAATCATTACGGCGGAAAATTCATCAAAGAGAAAGATTACCTAATTGGGCCGGTGAAGAAAAACAGTAATATGATAAACTAAATAATAGACCAGAGAGGAGGAGGAAAAAGAGAAGGAGAAGGAGGAGGAGGAGGAGGAGGAGAAGGAGGAGGAGGAGGAGGAATAAGCAGAAGAGGAAGTAGCAGAAGAAGAAGAAGAAGAAGAAGAAGAAGAAGAAGAAGAAGAAGAAATAGAAGAAACAGAAGAAAGAGGAGGAAGAAGAGGAGGAGGAGGAGGAGGAGGAGCAGGAGGTGCAGGAGGAGGAGAAACCCCCAACCGGTGCGCGCAGTGCGACAGTGCGAAGGACCAAGCATGCGAGCCCCTTGTTTGTTTGCTTACGCCGGCCGAGTCAGAAACAATGGCGCCCTAATTGGTTTCCAGGGCGGCCGAGATCGCTGCCTGACCCCCCCACCCACCCACCCACCGTCTCCCCGCGAGAGCAGCAGCAGGTAATTGCACCTTTGCTAATTGGCCTTCAAGCAAGCGGCCCAACAGCGCAACAATAAGGGATCCAGTTCTTGACATTCGACTCCTCCTCCTCTTCTTCTTCTTCTTCTTCTTCTTCTTCTTCTTCTTCTTCTTCTTCTTCTTCTTCTTCTTCTTCTTCTTCTTCTTCTTCTTCTTCCTCCTCCTCCTCCTCCTCTTTCGGCCCGGTCCTCCACTCTCCTACTCCTCCTATTCCCTCTTTTCCTCCTCCTCCTCCTCCTACCTCCTTCCGAAAGCAGCCGCCCCTCGCTCTCAGCCCGCCGACAACTACCATCCCCACCAAAAGGCTATTACTACGATCGCCAGGCTACCGACGGATCGGCTCCTGGCGCGTATCTCCCGGATCTTTATGAATGGGCAGTGACGTCACACACACTACCTACTCCTACCCCTACTCCCCTTCCCCCGATCCCACCCCTTGAGGGAGTGGGGGGGGGGGGTGGAGTAGGGGGGTGGAGTGGGACGGAGGGAGGGGGAGTGGGGCAGGAGGAAGAAGAATAGGAAAAGAAATAGGAAGAGAAATAGCAAGAGGAGTATATGGGGATGAAATAGAGGAGCAGGGAATAGAAAAAGAATGAAAAGGAGGTAAAGAAAGAAAGCAGGAGTATGGAAGAAACAATAAAAAAGGGGGAGCGATGAAAAAAGAAAACAAGGAGAAAGAAAGAAAAAAAAAAGAATACCCGTCTCGCACTCATCTCATCTGTAAACAAAACTTCCTCCTCACACCTCATAAACCTCTCAAAAATTCCTCGTTCGACTCTCAATGGAATCTCCTTTCCCCTCCCCCCTCCCTCTCCTCTCCCTCCCCCTCCCCCTCCCTCATTCCTCCCCATCTCCTACCTTTCTTTCACTCTCTCACTTCCCAACTTCCCTCCTCCCTCTATCCTCCACGTCTTCCTCTTCCTCCTTCTCCTTTTTGGTTCCTCTCTCGCCCTCCCTAAGGGGAATGCAAGAACATAAGTATGTCAGTATGAGCGCACACACACACCTGCTCGTCGCCCGCGGGACGATCCAAGGTTGCTTTTCGGGATGCCTCCTCCTCCTCCTCCTCCTCCTCCTCCTCCTCCTCCTCCTCCTCCTCCTCCTCCTCCTCCTCCTCCTCCTCCTCCCTCCCTCCCCCTCTTCTTCTCCTCCCGCCCTCCCCCTCTTCTCCTCCTCCTCCTCTCCCCTCTCCTCCTCATCTTCCCCCCCTCCCCCTCTCAAACCATAATTACGATCTAATTATTCGAACAGGCTCCTTGCTACAAAAAAGGAAGACTAATAAAATAATATAATTCCATCCCCCCACCACCCTCCTAGTATCCCTCCTCACTCCCCCCCCCCCTTCAACCGTTCAATTACCAGTTAATCGGCGTGATTAGCGAAACCCGGCGCTAACTAACTATATACGGCCACCGACCAAAACCGAAACCCGTTCGAGGAATGAAGGAATGAAGGAGGGAAGGAGGGAGGGAGGGATGAAGAGACAGAGGGGAGAGAGGAGGGGAGAGAGGAGGGGAGGGAGAGAAGGAAGGAGGGAGGAAGAGGGGAGGGAGGAAGAGGGGGAGGGAGGAAGAAGGGGAGGGAGGAAGAAGGGGAGGGAGGAAGAAGGGGAGGTAGGAAGAGGGGAGGGAGGAAGAGGGGGAGAGAGGGAGGGAGGGAGGGAGGGAGGGAGGGAGGGAGGGAGGGAGGGAGAGGAGAGAGAGAGAGAGAGAGAGAGAGAGAGAGAGAGAGAGAGAGAGAGAGAGAGAGAGAGAGAGATGGGGAGAGAGGGACAGGGAAGAAGGGAGGGAGGAATCGAAAATCCTTCTCTCAAAATAGAACCCATGGCATTTTCATTAGGGAGGTCACCGGCTTGAGAGGAGACTCCGTTTATTTTCCTCTCTGTTCCTATCCTACCAACGTCGTTTCGCTAGACGCCGACGCTCTGCCACCCAGACGAGAAAAAGAAAATTTGAAGATAGGCTTTGTCAACAGCAGCATTTATGGACGACAAGCTGCAACGACATGTCTCTTTAACACACCAATAAAGATAACATCGCGGGGGGAAGGGTGGGGGGGAGGGAACCCAGCAAAAGTATGAAATATAAAAAAGAAAAAAAAGAGAAGGCAAAGAAGAGAAAAGAAATAGAAGAAAGGAAGGACGAGCAGGAAACAAGTAAACACACAACAAAACAAAGACAGAAACCCCGACTACAAAGCTAAACATCCATCCCATTCTTTCTCCTCCTTCCTCCGTCCTCTGTGAGAGACACGCGCGCCGTCGAAGTCGAGCCAAGTCGGCCACCTCAGCTGTCCGTCATATTAATTAACCGCAGGAGCCCGCTGTCGTTTCCCTGTCCCTGTGCCGGGAATCCTCTTTCTCTTTTGCTCACTCTCTCTCTCTCTCTCTTCCTCTCTCGCTTTCTCCTTCTGTTATTCTTTCGCTTTCATTCTCACTGTCTGGTTGTTCGGCTGTTTGTAATTCTCTGTCTGTCTGTCTGTATCTGTCTCTCTCTCTTTCTCTGTCTCTGTCTCTGACACACACACACACACGCACACGCACACGCGCACACACACGCACACACACACGCACACACACACACACAAACACACACACACACACAAACACACACACACACACACACACACACACACACACATACACACACACACACATATATATATGTATGTATGCATGCATGTATATGAATATTTCTCAACATATATTTTTCCCTCACGGTTACTTCATCTCTGTTTCTTGTCCCTTTCAATTTTCATCTCGAACTTCTCTCTAGCCTCACTTCCATCACACGACCATGTGCTTGTTATTACTTTCCATCTCTCTCGCATGCTGACCGTGTCTAATGCAACTTCCTGTATGCGCCGCAACACGCAGCACGCTATGTTTGTTTAATATAACGCACCAGTTACAAGCGTCGCATATGCATACAAACAAATATCGCAGGAGAACAAAAACTGTGTCATTGTGAAAAC